CAATGTACAAATTAGATTTGTATATTTTCATTGTTATTAGTGTAGTTTAATAACTTCATCATCAAAATTTACAGCAGATGATTGGTGAGCAGACAGAGCGTAGCCCCAATTGAATCTGCCTACCAAAATTACGAACGAATAACTTACATTATAGTACAAATTTACAACTAAAATTAAAGAACTCCTATAGAATGCGGGAAATAAGATTAAAATTAAAGGATTAAAAGCCAAAGAGATAAAATTACGCATCTTTAATTTAGTCTTAAATCTCTCGCTATTATACAGTGCATCACGAGGGAATTGAACCCCCAACAGGAAATATTTCCTGGCCAACCATGGTAATGCGAAAAAAGAAGATGCTGTGCTGAGTGGTTATATAACCACTCAGCACAGCATTTTCACATTGGCACTATACCCACACTGGTACAGACAGTTTTAGTACAAAAAAGGAAGAGCCAGGTTGAAATAAAAAACGATCTGTTGTCCTTCCGAATGTTTTTAAACCGTTATTACTATACTTTTTATCGTGTAACAACAAACGAAATTAAGAGTTTATTATTTAAAGAAGAAAAATCAGGAATTTCGCACGTCACTATGCATGAAATAAGAAAAATAAATTATGGGTTCTACTAAATCTACAGTGCAGTTTTAACTCGCATTAACCACACAAATAATCTATTGTTCGAAAGATCAAACAGAAAAGGACAGACTTTAGAATAAGACCAAGCTGAGTATCTTAAAGGAAGTAGTATTTCAAATGCATAGCTCTGCTTCCACCTGCAGCAATTTTGGCAAGAAAATTTATGGATCGACATTTAAGATTAATAATTTTTTAGGAAGGGGAGGGGTTGTACACTTTTGGAAATGTTTATAAGTATGGATGACCCTCTAAGTTGACCGTATTATTCAACTTATTAATGCGCAAGACTCTCACCTTGACGCATAATGTCGTATTCTTATATTATTGGTTCACTCACACCAGATTCAGATCAGATTAGCGTATAAGTCGGATTGCGTTCCGTCATTTCCAACCGTGCCAATTCAGAAATTGGTTTGGTGCATAATTCATAGTCCATTGTATAAACTATTTATTCTTTATCTATACACGCCCTATACATCGCCCACTTAATAACTGCATGCGTGTATACGTAAAGTACTGTTTATAACACGTAGCTGCATAACACGTAGCTGCATGCAACACTATATTACAGCTGTTTCGTTTCATTGCACGCTTCGTTATACTTATTTTTGTAATGTTTCAGTAACGTATGGTCTACACGTGTTGCACCGAATTGGAGTTTGCTAAATCTATCAAGTTCTTGATTTGAAAGCAGGATATACATAAAACGTGTGAAAAGAAATATTATGTACATCGGATAATTGTCCCAGTGCCGTTAGTTCAATTTTAATGCTATACAGTCCACAAAGATGATAAATGTTACGTGAAGTGATTAATCGCAGTACTAGTTACTGAAATGACTAGCTTTTGTAAAAGTTTGCATTATATACAACACTGGAGGAAGGAAGGGTTTCCGCAAACGCTATCTGTGATTCGTTGACTCATTTAGCTGCTGATTAACTTGTCTAATATGTAAAATGAAATTGATTGTACACAATGTATGAAGAAAAATACCTGTGGATAGTTACTACTGTTGCTTGTGGTTAATTAAAGATGGACGTCGGCAGGCGCACCGTTTCACGGTAAAGAGAGAAGGTTTATTTCCCAACCATAGAATTAATCTTGATGGACCAAACTTTGTAGGCAGTTTGTTGTAAACAAATGCATTAATGTTATAGGATTGCCTTCATTTGTTGTCGGTTCCATACACAACTTTTTTTAAGTTATTAATTTTTCTAGCAACATGGCATTTTTGTAACCTTAGTGAATTTTCATAAAATTTATTATAAAAGATAAACGGATGCCTCTACGACATTGAAACTTTGATGAATATTAAGACTTGTTGTGGTCTTTTTAACCTATGAATTATAGGAAATTTCGTCAAAACGAAACTGGTAAAATTGATGTTCACACTAAATTCATGTCGTACAAAAATCCCACCTGAAGCTGAATGACACCTGTATAGTAAACTGACTTGAAAATTTCATCGCCGCCAAACCAAGAGAACGAGTGGTGGTGGCAGTGAAGGGAATGTATAGAAAAGTCCTAAACAGCCTGTATTTTTATGTTTCGAGTCGAAACCGGGATGTTTTTCGACCGCTAGAACCTAAGCAACGCGTGTGGCAATTTTGTAACCTTGTAACTACATAAACAAATAGTGTTCGTAACGCATTTACTGATAAGCCTTAAAACTTGGCATAGAATGAAAGGGGACGTAAGCCTTTATTTTGAAATAAATCACGAGTTATTCCACATAGTTGGAAGAAAAATATTGAGGGAGGTACAAAATGTTACGAAAGTGCCATACTTTGCCTCTATATAGAGAGAGAGAGAGAGAGAGAGAGAGAGAGAGATTTATTTATTAGAGAGAGTGACATATTAGAGAGAGTGACTTATTGGAGAGAGTGATTTATTAGTGAGTGATTTATTGGAGAGAGTGATTAATTGGAGGGAGTGATTTATTAGAGAGAGTTGCTTATTAGAGAGAGGGTGCTTTACAGTGTACAAACAAAAAACAACGATCGCTTACCTAAAGATCTTGTAGCATTAACTTGAAAAATATGATAAAAACCATTGACAAGTCCAATAACAAGAAATATGACTCCTTTCTCTCCCGGTTCTGTGAGAATTGTCTTAATATCAACATTTGTGGTAGTGTTAGGAAGTACGACAGGATTGAAGTTTTCGAAATCTACAGAGTACCTACAAGATACAATCCAGGCATGCAAATTAGTGCCTATATTCAATATATATTCCAAACACAAATTTTGTTTTTCCTCTATTGAGCCACCTTAACCCATATAAAATTCAGTTTGAGTTCACATGAGAAACAAGCTTGGTGGGATCTCAGCCAAGTGAATAAATAGACTTGCTCCAAGTCTCTCTTTCATTGTCATATCGATCCACTATAGTGTACATTACATGACGTAGTACGGAGGGGCGGAGCGAGAAAGAGAGACTTGTCAACTTCGGAAAATCTCGGTTCAAAACTGAACCGAAAATGTAAGACCTGCTTTAATTCTTTTCTGTCAGTGTTTATATGTATTGATCTAGCACAGTGTAAATAACACAAGTTCCATTATAGTAAATAATACAGAAAGAAATTGAAGGAAAACAATTAAGCAAGTCTTGTATTTTCGGTTCAGTTTTGAACCGAGATTTTCCGAAGTTGACAAGTCTCTTTCTCGCTCCGCCTCTCCGTACTACGTCATGTAATATACACTATAGTGGATCTATATGATAATGAAAGAGAGACTTGGAGCAAGTCTTGTGAATAAAAGGAGGGTGCCGAAATTTTCTGTTTTGATTTTGACTTAAGAAATAATACTATGTATGGTTTTATTATGAATTGATTACCTGAATGGCATACGATTCATTAGAAGAAACTGAAATTAGCCATTCCGAAATTGATGAGTGGACTGGGGACGAGTGTTAAAAAGTGTCCAAATTAAAAAATGAACCAAATCACTAAAAAGACCACCTCAAAATTAGTAAGTATACAAAGTTTGAAGACTTCTACATGAATACCCTTCGAATAATAAGCTTTCGATTTCATCCTCGTTCCCAGGGCTTCTCGGCTGCAACGCAGGCAGCCGAGAAGCCCTGGGAACGAGGATGAAATCGCGATATTTACTATGAAATGTACTGTAATTTTTTGTTTTGGCGGACGCGCGTCCCATCAGTAATTTCACAATTTTCGAAAGCTTATTATTCGAAGGGTATTCATGTAAACGTCTTCAAACTTAGTATACTTACTAATTTTGAGGTGGTCTTTTTAGTGATTTGGTTCATTTCTTAATTTGGGCACTTTTTAACACTCGTCCCCAATCCACTCATCAACTTCGAAATGGCTAATTAGCTGGGGAAATGGTATGAAAACTGTTTTCGACCTTCAGAGCTATTGGACTTCAATGTCTTTTATCTTGGCTTCACTTTTCTCATACGCCGAATGACTGAAGTTGTTACTTCAGTTATATAGACAGCTCACAGCCGTGCCCGGGTTCTGGGGCTTTTTTGCCGGCTATAATAAAGGATAGGACCCGGGACTTACTGTAGCTGTGTAGATGATTGGAAATCTGAAGCCAAGACAAAACCGCCATGATCACCAAAGCTAAACCGTCTCTTGCCACGTAGCACCTGAGAATATAAATATAATATAGTTAGCAATTTCTTCGTGTTTCTTGCAAAGAACAGGAAAATTCCTTAATCCGACACAGGGCGTAAAGGCTAATTTCCACTCCGGAAAATTATCCGTGGATTGGAACGGACAAGAAAATTTTTCTTTGTGTTAAAGTCATTAGTTCCAACCAAGAGCTCACAACACAAAGAAGAATTTTCTTGTCCGTTCCAATCCATCAAGTTTGAAGCCTTGCACCGAACCACCTGAAACATAAAATTACATCAGTGGCATTCTCGTCCCCAGAGCCACTCGGTGAAAATTAGGCTCTGGGTTAGACGACTAAAGGAAGAGATCTGATTGGCCTCTCAGAGAACTGCTATTTCGCAGAAGTTGGGCAGTTTTCGCTACGCAAATTTTTCTATCGACATATGTCAACACAAATACTTCGTTTCTCGTAATACTTCACTGTGAAAATTGTTACAGGTGCTAATTAAAGTGTCCCAATAGAAACTAGTGCAAGTTTTCTTGCACTTCCGGTTCCGTGTGTCCCAGGGCCTAGGGGGGACGCGCGCGGCCGAGAGGCCCTGGGGACGAGGATGCATCAGTGGCGAAGCTAACCATAGCACCAGTGGCGGACACAATCATATATTGCTTGCTATATTGCTAACTTTAGCTTAAGTTATATGTAATAATCATTATTTAATATGACAATTACGTTATATGGGTGTGATTGCATGCTTGCCTCTTGCTCCTAAACAATGCTTGTGATACCAGACTTTTATAGTCTTTCAAAATTATTGGGTTAATATAATTCGCTGGCGAAGGTATGCAGTCTCCAACAAGTGTCCTCTAGTTCAATACATATTTTAATGTATTGTCTTACCGCTTTTTTTGGCTTCAATGAACAGATCTGTTGCTTTGTCACCATATTTTGTAGAACCCCTAAAAGAATTATAAATTTTTATTTAAAAATATACCTCATATCATCTCAATTTTTTCTCCTATAATACTCAATTTTATTTGTTGATATATCTTAATAAATATATATCGACTATGACTAAGGCCGCTTTCCATTACGCCCTCAAGCGGCTCCACTTACAGTGGCAGCGCTACGCGGAGAGGACTGGGTGGTGTCGTCCCGGTCCCCCAAGTTTTCTTCAAAATAGATTTTCTAATTCATCCAAATATGATGAGAAAAATGGAGGGGGTGGGGGGAGGTGTACCTTTGTTGCAGCAAACATGATCTAGTCAAAAATAATGAACTCAGTTGTTTTATGTATAGCTGCACAAAGGTTTTGTCATGGAAAATCACGTGTTTCATGTACTTTACCTTCGGAATTCTGCATATTAATCTTAAGGCCCTGTCACACTATTGCGTATGAGCGAAAGTAGGAGAAGCATATGAAAATTAATGAAATAATTTCTTTTAGTCCTTTGAAATGCTAGAGCGTATGAGTACCATACATCTGGCGTACCTCTAGCGTATTTAGCGTCAGCCTAGAGTATGCTTATCATGTAAACCACACGTCCGAATACGCACAAAATCTTTAAGCATGCTTAAAAAAATTTTCTGCCTCGCCGCATGCCACCGTACGCGACCGTGCTTGAAACGTATACAACCTTTGCCTAACGTACCCCTAGCGTATGTCAGCGTTTTCCAGCGTATGAGTGATATTTTTCATACGCTGGCATACGCTAGTACGATACGCAATATGTGTGACAGGGTCTTTACCCCCGAAATGCTGGAAAGGGACTCTATATGTAGACTTCAAAATTTTCCTGGGGGTGCATGCCCCCGTCCCTCCCCCAGAAGTAAAATTTCAAAATGTACACGCGCGACCGAAAGCTTAATAGTGTCCGCTTCGCCCGTAATTAGCATTCAACTTGCAATTTCCACGCCCAATATTCCAAATCCAGAAACGTCATTGGGAATATTCACATCAAACTTGGAAACGACAAACTCGCGTCTTATTTAAATCGCGTCTTATGTAAGTCGCGTCTTATTTTGTCCCGTATAAATGGCCCTATTGTCTTAACGCTCGTAACGATAGAATCATTTCTCAACGGTCAGATTATAATAGTTTTTACCTGTGAACCACATAAATCATAAGTATTCTCTTTATATAATCACCTTGCCTATTTTCAGTTCTATACTGTTTTACTTTGAGGCTGTTGAGAAAGAGCGTAGCTCAATCATTACGAAGAAATGGAAACAAGCTTTTTAAGCCCCGGTTCATACTAGCAAATTTTTCGGCGATTCTGTGTTTCTGACGGATGCAAATGAGTGAACTCGCGCACAAAAGTATACAGTCGCTTTTCAGAAGTAAACAATTCTAAGTCTTTTGCATGTCATCGCCGACAGATTTGCTCGGCGTGAGCCAGGCTTCAATAGAAGTTTACGATCTACGACGCGGCTGGCTCGACGACGCGCTTTCAAAACAAAGAAATTTGGTGTTTCCACAAACAATAGTATTATGTGTTTTATCGCCATGCAAACCTACAAAGAACTTACGAAGAAATTTGTCATGCAAGACAAAAACTGTCAATAATTTGTAGATTAGTATTGTCAATCGCGTTGTCATTCTCAACACAACGTTAAAAAAGCATTATTACGTCTTTCAGGCAACGCAAAGCTTAATGCGACACAAGAGGTGTTACTAAAAGTCGAAATTACAGTAAACATTGCATCGCTTTAGCCGAACATAGCATTTTGTAAGGTTATTTGAGTCAAATATTTATTACAGTAATCGAATTGCTTAGCGCTCATTCTTGAGCTAAAATTTAGACCGCGTCGTTGAGCTGGCCGCGTCGTAGATCGTAAACTCCCTATTATACTTACAACGGGAACAACAGATTCTGCAACATCCGGGAACTTGACGCTGCATGCGTGTAGAGTGCGGACGAGGATCTGTCGGTAGTTGCCGGAATCTTCCGTCGTGCTTTCTTCCGTGTGTGTCTTGGTGATTTCTTTCTTCAAAACCATCACGACTTCATGGATATTTCTCGTGTTCATAATCTCAAGGACAAGATCCAATGTCTTCTTGCGAACCTCGAGATCAGGCGAGGCAAGCACTCGCAGAATATCCATCACTAGTTCCTAAAACCACATTAAAAACTGTTGTATAGCTAGGATTAACCATAGATATCTTATATACACTAGATAGTGCATCTAATTATTCTG